GGCCATTTGGGGGGGGGGGCTTATTGATAAAAGCTTGTAAAAGTGGGGATGGTGTGGAGAAAATGCTTTCTTTGTTCCGTAACTGCAGAACTCGGGGTCATGTAATGAAGCTCAGCACCGACACGAGAGAAGTGATGGGATCTCACGGCCACAAGACGTGGCGGGGACGGCTCCTGGCACCGGTGGTGCTAAAGGTCGATTAGACAGGTTCACATAGAGACAGATTCCAGTGCAGGGGCGTCAAACATAAGGCCCGTGGGACAGAACCAGCCCGTCCAGGGCTCTCATGCGGCCCGTGAGCAACTAGTGCAGGGGAGGGAACGGGAGACTGCTTGGGGGGGGGAGTGGGCGGAGCCACTCCGACTGTGGCTTCAGCATGGCGGAACAACCTCGTCTGCAGCAGTCCAGCCGCGTGAGAGTGTCCACCCAGTGCTGCACCGCGGGCTCTCCGGTCCACCCGTATGGGTTTTCCTTTGCACCTCTCTCCCAGCTCATGGGGTCTTGCGGTGCGAATACACCCACTTGGACAGTGTTCCCTCTAATCTGAGTTAGTGTGAGCTAATCAACCCCAACAGCAGCTTTGAGAAAGACAGGAGCGCTCCGTCTATGAACTTCAGCTGTTTAATGGGCCTCTCGTAGGACCAGCAACAAACATCTCTTTAAACATCAAGGTAACCACAAAAGAAAACTTCCCCCTTTAGAAGACTTCCAAGCAAGGAGAAGTGGGTGTATAATTCTAGAAACTCCCGATGGGGGTTGATTGTGTAAAAAGGATGTAAACTGACTGGTAGTTATTAGAATTGTATAAACTGATTATTACTGTTGATATTGCATGTAATGAATATATATACCTGTTTTAGAATACAATAAACAACACACTGCACTTTATAAGATGGAACAAATAGAACACATTAACTTATAAATGGTTTTTGCAGTGTGTATTTGTGTTGTTTGACAACCGGATGAGACACACCCTGAGCCAGCTAGGGTTGCTAGGTACCCCCTGGCGACTGGCAAAAGGGGGGTGGGGAACGACTCACCAGCAGCAAACTAAGGTCTAGGCCTCTGCTGCTGGTGACATCACTTCCTGTGTGTGCCGGAAGTGACACCATCGCATCACCAGTGACATGAGAATGCTCTGGTATTTCGGCAAAACTTCTATGGTAGAAGCTGTCTTTACCATAGTTTTTGCCCGAAGTCTGGAGTGGTCCCCATGTGGCTGGCGATGTGACGACACCCATCCCGGTGGATGCCGCGTCACTGGCAAGAGAGGCCTAGTCCTCAGTTTGCTGCCGGTCAATTCCGGCTATTTCTAGAAACGAATTGTTGTTTCACTGTTCATACCTGATTGATGCATTAATACTGTCAGACCTTCTCTACTTATCTCTTTGGATATTTGAATTATTCACGCCAACTGTCAGTTGTCGTATGCTCTTTAAATAGTATTATTTAGACTCGGTAAACCACCTCTATACATTAATGTTGACTTTTTATCTCTCTCCCCCCCACACCTTTTTATTTCTGGTTAGTATGCGGCCACTGTTTGTGTTTCAAAGTTATAACGTTATGATGTTAGATTCTTTGTTATATTCTCTCGATTGTAAGCTGTAAAGAACTGTTGTTGTTTTTTTACAAAAGAGCTTTTTTTAAAAAAGCTCCCTTCCCGCTGGCCTGCTGATCAATGCCAGGGGGAGGGGCCCCGGAGCGGGGGGACCCCCGTGCCCCCAGCAGGAGTCTGGGAACCATAGGTCCAACCCGTCTCGTCATATACTCGAATGCTCTGACTGATAATGAGAAGGCTACTCACTGGACCGATTCTGGGGATCCTGTCAGAGAGACGCTCCGCTCCGGCAATCCTCCGCTGTCTGTAGGAAGGGGGGGAAAGGAGGTATTCAGGAGACAGGTGCCACTGAGCATATCTCTGTAGTAACCCATTTGCCCACAGCCTGACCCCTCAGTTCCACAGCTGAAGGGGAGACCTTCACAAACACACACACACACACACCAGAATGGACAGCTTGCATTTAGTGTCTGTTGCTAAGGACGTTTGTCACACGGGCAACGAAAGGACAAACGTTTCCCAGACGTCTTCAAACCGCCAAAACCCAGCTGCGTCACTATTCAAACCAGAGAGCCTACAGGAAAACGGCTGATACTGTCAACGTTGCCTTTTCGCCCCGTGAATTCCGTGCTCTCTACACAACTTAATGCCCCCCCCCAGTTTATTTATTTAATTCGGTTTACACCCCACCCTCCCCACCAAGGTGGGTTCACGGCGGCTTACATAAAATTCCATATAAATTACAGTTAAGACCATAATAATAATAAGAGGAGATTGGATTTATACCCCACCCTTCACTTGGGAGTCTCAGAGCGGCTTACAAACTCCTTTCCCTTCCCCTCCCCACGACAGACACCCCGGGAGGTGGGTGGGGCTGAGAGAACTCTGACACAAACTGCTCTTTTTCAAGAACAGCTCTTACCAGAATTATGGCTTGCCCAAGGTCATCCAGCAGGTGCAAGTGGAGGAGTGGGGAATCAAACCCGGTTCTCCCAGATTAGAGTCCGCGCACTTAACCACGACACCAAACTGGCTCTCACATAAAAAACAGTCAATTAAAATACTCCTAAGAATGCTGGAACGTGGTCTGATAGAAATGAGAGCAAGCTTTATAATACAGCTTAAGGCGGCTGTATGTTCCGATGGTATTCACACCAACTCAGTTCGTTCGGCTTGTTATTTTATTTATTTTTATTTCATTTTATCTCTATCCCGCCCTCCCTGCGAACGGGCTCAGGGAGGCTCACAGTTTAGGGCACCGTGTGCCAAACATAAAAACAGGTAAGACAGGATAAAAACAACCATATTTTACAATTAAAGTGCTCAGTGATGTTAGTCCTTCAATCGCATTTAAATGGCGTACTGTAAATGTAACACAAGGTCCCGATTCAGAACTATTGCGATGTTGTGGCTCAATCTTCATATAGGGCCAGCCCACTACCCTGTTGTTACTAACGATAATAGCTGGTGGCAGTGGTGGCTCCTAATTGAAAGCCTGGCGGAAGAGCTCCGTCTTGCAGGCCCTGCGGAACTGCAAAAGGTCCCGCGGGGCCCTGATCTCCTCCGGGAGCTCGTTCCACCAGGTAGGGGCCGCCACTGAGAAGGCCCTGGCCCTGGTTGTGGCGAGCCTGGCCTCCATGGGGCCTGGAATCACTAGCCGATGTTATGACCCCGACCGTAGTGCTCTCTGGGGTATGTGTGGGGAACGATTATGCGGTGGGCACAGGCTGAAGGTGAAAGATGGCAAAGGCCAGGGCACCAGGACACTCCTTGGTGTGTACTGTTTGTTCATCTAAACCCTCAAACAGGGAGCTGGGAAGGAGAAAGGGCCCCAGGTGGGTGTCACAGCCTCCACCTCGTAGGCCCCCCGCTCTCCGGCCTCAGACGTACCTGGCGAGATCTGTACTTTGCATCCAGAGTCCTGCTGTATTTTGTTGATCTGCTCCCCGCCTCGGCCTATGACTGCAAAGTAAGGAGAGGAACACTAAGAGAGCTTGTAACCTGTGAGGAGCCTGCAACACCCTGACAAAGAGGCTGAAGAGGTCGCACAATTCCCCCCCAAAAAAGAAAAGAAACAGGAGAAAAACTTCTGCTTTACTAGAATAATGGGAAGAGACTGTCAGAACACAGAGAACTCAAAACTGGATTCTGAATAATATCTCCACTCATTCCACCCGCCTAAATGGTGGGTCCGCAAGTGGTGTAGGAATTGGGGGGGGCAGTGTTCCCTCTAAGCCGAGTTAGTGCGAGCTCACAGTGTTTTTAGCCTCCGGCGCACACATTTTTGTCTCAGCCCAGGAAGGAAGGCTCTGGAGCAAACTGATTTATGCAAGAGCCAACTCACTCGCTCGCAACTTTAATGGCCGGAGCTCAAAAAGTAGACTTTTTGCACACAAGCCTCCACAGCTTAGAGGGAGCATTGGGAGGGGGTGGCCGGTGACTGGAATAATTCACCAGGATTCCATCAGATTTCATGGTTTAAAACGTGGTGGGGAGAGAGGGAGGCGAAAAGAGCTCCTCTTGAGACGCACAGTCCGAATGGTCAATTCCAGGAAACAAAATACTCCGGGGCCGTAGAGATAAGTAGCCACTGAGAACCAAGAGGTCACTGGGTACTTGGGGGCAGACGAGCTCCAGCCAACTTCTTCCATTTGCCTTTGGAGCTTGAATGCCAAGCCAATCCCAAACTAGGGCGTGGAGGCAAGAGACCTCCGTGAAACCAATTTTCTCCTCCGTTGCAGCCACTAACTCCTTCCGGCCGGGGCCAAACCCGGGACTGCCTACCTGAGCCAGGATCACTCACAGAAAGCCGTGGCCTCCACGGCCCAATCCATAAGCAACCAGAAGAAGGCCCCCGGGAGCTCCTGCAGTGCTCCTAGCCCGAGCCTGTGAATCCTCCAGAGTGAATCGACCGCCCAAATTCCCAAAAAGTCCAGCTTCGGCATGGAAGGGGCTCGTACGAGACCAGCTTCGAGCTCGCCCGTGGCTATCGGCCCCCTAATGTGTATCCAATGGCGACCAGTGTTCCCTCTAAGCTGAGTTAGTGTGAGCTAGCTCACAGTTTTTTAGCCTCTGGCTCACACATTTTTGCCTTAGCTCAGGAAGGAGGGTTCCAGAGCAAACTGATTTATGCAGTAGCCAAATCACTCGCTCACAACTTTAATGCCAGTCGCTCACAAAGTAGAATTTTTGCTCACAAGCCTCCACAGGTTAGAGGGAACATTGATGGCGACCCTGCCCAAGCACTTTGGGGGGCTCACCTCTGGCCCCACATGCCACAGCTGAACTCGGGGGGGGGGGGACTTGAATGCTTGCCACCTCTCCAAGCGAAAAGCGCCAAAGGGCCACCAACAAGCCAGCCAGCCAGCCTGCCTGTGGTGTCCCTGGGGGGAAGCTCAGGTAACGGGTGCCGCGAAGCCAGCAAAGGCACGAGTTAGTATGGGGAAAGGAGGACGGGGCTTTCCACTGGGGCCACATATGGTCGCCCCTCCCCACCTCCCTGTCTAATACTCACTGAGTCCCACCATGCCATCAGGTACTCTGTACTCTTCAGTCACTGTAGACCTGCAAGGGAAACGGTCAGCAGCTTAGAGTAAGGAGTGGGAAAGGTTACGGAAACGGAGCCGGCATCTGCCGGCATCCAGAAAGAAAGAAAGAAAGAAAGGAAATCCGGAGTGTTTGCTCCTCCTGGAACGGCAGGCAGGAAGGTGGCTGAGCGACCGAGCACGGCTCCAAGGAAATCACCACACACGCCCAGTGCAAGAACGACACTGGCCCGAAATGTGGCTGACTGAGTGGCCCGGGGGGGCCACCGTAGCAGAGCTTCCACACAACACTCTTCAGACACGGATTTGAAGAAACTAAAGCTACGAAACCAGAAGCGACTCAAGAAACTGGAAGGACCACGGGAAATGGTAAAGAAGCACAACCTTCTGCTACTGAACGAGGACTGACCGGCCTTTCGACGGCACATCTCACTAAGCTGGACGTGGACCCTCCTCTAGTGAAAGCAGCCTCTTCTTGGGGGGAGGGGGTTAGGGTGGGAGGCACTGCAAGCTGATCTTGCGCGTTGAAACCTTTCGGCACTGATTTTGACCATTCCAGCGTGAGCGCACATTGGGGAAGGGGGGGGGGGAACAGCAGACAGCTAACTTACCTGGGGGGAGGGTGGATCGGTCCGAGTTGAGGGGGCGGTGGCAAAGCTGGAAAAGGAAAGGAGAAGTCTGGTTATGAATCCGCGTGTTAGATGGGAACGTTATAAAGTCACTGAGCGCCCCCATAAGCTTGTTTAAAATCTGAAGCACACCTTCTGATATGACCCCTTCTCCTCAATTTGGTGGTGGTGGTGAAGGAGAGGTAGAGGAGGAGGAGGAGGAGGAGGAAGAAGAAGGGGAAGAAGAAGAAGAAGGGGAAGAAGAGGAGGAAGGAGGAGACTGGATTTATACTCTGCCCTTCACTCGGGAGTCTCAGAGCGGTTTACAAACTCCTTCCCCTTCCCACAACAGACACCCTGTGAGGGAGGTGGGACTGAGAGAGCTCACTCGAGAACTGCCCTTTTTCAAGAACAGCTCTGACAGAACTATGGCTTGCCCAAGGTCATCCAGCGGCTGCAAGTGGAGGCGTGGGGAATCAAACCTGGTTGGTTCTCCCAGATTAGAAGAAGTAGAGGAGAAAATCTGATTTATACCCCGCCCTTCACTACCTTCTGCTACTGAACGAGGACTGACCGGCCTTTCGACGGCACATCTCACTAAGCTGGACGTGGACCCTCCTCTAGTGAAAGCAGCCTCTTCTTGGGGGGAGGGGGTTAGGGTGGGAGGCACTGCAAGCTGATCTTGCGCGTTGAAACCTTTCGGCACTGATTTTGACCATTCCAGCGTGAGCGCACATTGGGGAAGGGGGGGGGGAACAGCAGACAGCTAACTTACCTGGGGGGAGGGTGGATCGGTCCGAGTTGAGGGGGCGGTGGCAAAGCTGGAAAAGGAAAGGAGAAGTCTGGTTATGAATCCGTGTGTTAGATGGGAACGTTATAAAGTCACTGAGCGCCCCCATAAGCTTGTTTAAAAATCTGAAGCACACCTTCTGATATTACCCCTTCTCCTCAATTTGGTGGTGGTGGTGAAGAAGAGGTAGAGGAAGAGGAGGAGGAGGAAGAGGAGGAAGAAGAAGGGGAAGAAGAAGAAGAAGGGGAAGAAGAGGAGGAAGGAGGAGACTGGATTTATACTCTGCCCTTCACTCGGGAGTCTCAGAGCGGTTTACAAACTCCTTCCCCTTCCCACAACAGACACCCTGTGAGGGAGGTGGGACTGAGAGAGCTCACTCGAGAACTGCCCTTTTTCAAGAACAGCTCTGACAGAACTATGGCTTGCCCAAGGTCATCCAGCGGCTGCAAGTGGAGGCGTGGGGAATCAAACCTGGTTGGTTCTCCCAGATTAGAAGAAGTAGAGGAGAAAATCTGATTTATACCCCGCCCTTCACTACCCAAAGGAGTCTCAGAGCGGCTTACAAACTCCTTCCCCTCCCCACAACAGACACCCTGTGAGGTAGGTGGGGCTGAGAGAGCTCTGACAGAAACTGCTCTTTTTCAAGGGCAGCTCTTATCAGAACCACGGCTTGCCCAAGGTCATCCAGCCAGGTGCAAGCGGAGGAGTGGGGAATCCAACCCGGTTCTCCCAGATTAGAGTCCGCGTACTTGACCTCCACACCAAACCACATATTCTCCACCTTCTCTGTAGTAATGTGAACACGGTATGAACAGAACTGGCAAGCAGGTGACACCTGCCTTCCCCCAGCCCTTTAGAAGAAAACTGTACTTACGTTCTGGTTGAGGAGCCATCTTCTTGCTTTCCGGCTGGTCTGTTGAAGGAAGCAGAAAGAAATGCATTTAGATGCTTTAGGATACTTTTCAGCAACCAAAAGACAACTTCTTTTCACCTCCGGTACTCAAGAAGGAAGACGCAGTGCCCATCCATTCTTGAAGCTCAACAGCCTGTCATAACAGCTCGTCCAACATCAACCCATGCTGTGCTGTTCAGAGTTACTCCTGCCTAAGCCCAATGGAGTAACGCTGCACAGGACTGCATCAGTGTTACATCTAAGCTGAGGTAGAGCCGCTGGCATTAAAGTTGTGAGCGGGCGATTGGGCTGCTGCATGAATCAGTTTGCTCTGGAGCCGTCTTTCCTGAGCCGAAACAAAAATGTGTGAGCCGGAGGCTAAGAAAATGTGAGCTGGCTCACACGAGCTCAGCTTAGAGGGAACACTGCTGCCAGGTCAACCCCATCAAAACAAGGGTGGTGGGCTTGAGCAACCAGGCCCACTCCTCCGCCGTATTACCCTTACAACGTCCCATCCCCGTGACGCGGACGGCTGCTCTCCGCACTCTGAGGACCCAGAGCTCAGAACCTCAGCGGCAGGAACCACGTTTAACAACTCCCACCAGAGACACGGACGTTCGCCAGCGATCCCCACCGTACCTCCATCCTCCAGCTGCCTTTTCTGGCCACCAAATCCAAAGTCGGGGGTTGAGTTGTTCACCGTTGTGGCCGAGTCCCCCCCAATTTTTGCTGCTATCTGTAATCAGAACGAAGATGGCATTTAACACGGGGGAAAGGCTTCCAAAAATCAGTGATAAAAGAACTTTAGCATGCACGCACATGCAAAAAGGTTAAAGCCCCCCCCCCCATTTAAAAAACAAACAAACAGATTTTTCTAAAAACCTGGGTTTTTCTCTCAGGTTTGCAGAAAGATCCGTCTTGTCTGTCCGGATTCAAGTAACCAAAGATAGAGCCGTGTTGAGAATTGGATATACTGACAGTTTAGATTCAAGAGCAGAGAAGACACTGCATATATTTCTAGTTCCCCGACATCTCCAAAAATTTCCCACGGGAAACACGCTTCCCCCCTTTTGCAGGTTCAAATTTTCCGGAAGTTTAAAGTCTCTAAATCCATTAAATACACAGCATGATGTGTTACGACCCCTCTATCATTTTCCCCTGCAGCTCAGGGGCTGAGTATCTGCTTAGCACGCAGAAGGTCCCATGCTCAGTCTACAGCATCTCCCGTCAAACAGATCTGGTCACAGGTGACGTGAGCGAACTCTGGCTGAGAATCCACAGAGCCACTGGCCAGTCTGAGTATTCAGCACTGCCTTGATAGACCAATTGGTCTGATTCAACAGAAGGCAGCTTAGTGTATCGATGCATACAGAAAAATAAAACCAGAGAAGTCACAATAACGAGGAGGTAGCCTGGGCTTCTTGTCTTTTCGCCTTTCCCCATGAGGCACACAGATCTCGAAGACGTTTGGTGCATGGGGGCCAACAGTGGGAGGGCTTCTGGAGTTCTGGCCCCGCTGGTGGACCTCCTGATGGCACCAGCGTTTTGGCCACTGTGTAATACAGTGTGTTGGACTGGATGGGCCATTGGCCTGATCCAACACGGCTTCTCTTTTATGTTCTTAAGCCCGTTTAATTTGTAAACCAGCTCGCCCTGATCTGGACAGCCCATCAGATCTCGGAAGCTAAGCAGGGTCGACTCTGGCGAGGACTTGGATGGGAGACCTCCTTGGAATGCCAGAGGCGGGGGCAGGCTCCATTCAGCCACCACTCTGAACACCCTCCAGGCCCCCAAGTAGGGGTCAGTCTCCACTGGTCGCCAGGACTTCCAGGTGCACACACAGTCTCACACACACACACATATGAAAAATACAAAATATATATATATACCCCACCCCCAAAAGAAATTGTAAACCAGCTTAGGGGCATATCTATTTCGTCTGGCTGCTGAAATTAAACAATGCTGTTCGGCCTATGCTCTCAGCAGCATTAACATCGGTTTCTATGCACAGCTTTTAAATCCCTAATTTCCCCACATTTGTATTTTCCTCCAAGAGTTAGCTATTTCTGTGGTTACAGGCCAAGCAAGGGTGGCCACTTGACAGCAACTACAGAATATACCGCCCACTACAAAACTACCCTGCCACGTTTTCTGTTTCTATCCTATTACCCACAAAACGTAGCATACGCATAGGTAAAGGTTTCCCTTGCTCGAAAGCCAGTCGAATCCAACCCTAGGGATGCGGTGCTCATCTCCGTTTCTGAGCCGAAGAGCCAGCACTGTCCAAAGACATTTCCATGGCCACGTGTTTGGCATGACTAGACGCCGAGGCGCACGGAATGCTGTTCCCTTCCCACCGAAGTGGTACCTATTTATCTACTTGCAGTTTCTTGCTTTCAAACTGCCAGGCTGGCAGGAGCCGGGGCCAGAGACGGGAGCTCACTCCGTCATGCGGCACTCGGGTCTCGAACTGCGGAACTACCGACTGACACTGTCTAACCATCTCATCCTTTGCCGTCCCCGTCTTCTTTGACCTTCAATCTTTCCCAGCATCAGGGTCTTTTCCAGTGAGTGCTCCCTTCTCATTTGGTGGCCAAAGTATTTGAGCTTCAGTTTCATTATCTGGCCTTCCAGGGAACAGTCAGGGTTGATTTCTTTGAGGATTGACTGATTTGTTCTTCTTGCAGTCCAAGGGACTCTCAAGAGTCTTCTCCAGCACCATAGTTCAAAAGAATCTATTCTTCGGCGCTCGGCCTTCCTTATAGTCCAGCTCTCGCAGCCATACATGACTACTGGGAATACCATTGCTTTGACTATGTGGACTTTTGTTGGCAGGGTGATGTCTCTACTTTTTATCATGCTGTTTAGGTTTGCCATCGCTTTCCTCCCAAGGAGCAGGCGTCTTTTAATTTCATGGCTGCAGTCACAGTCTGCGGTGATTTGGGATCCCAGGAACGTGAAGTCTGTCACTACTTCCACGACTTCCCCTTCTATTTGCCAAGGAGTGATGGGGCCGGATGCCATGATCTTAGTTTTTTTGATGTTGAGCTTCAAGCCCACTTGCGCTCTCCTCTTTTACCCTGAGCAAGAGGCTCTTTAGGTCCTCTTCACTTTCTGCCATTAGAGGGGTATCGTCTTGAGCATAGTTTTCATCAAAAGGCACCACACAGGTTCTGCACCAGAAATGGCCGACTTTCAAGTGTAGGGACCCTGGCAGGAGCGGCTTTTGTAAAAGGCTCATGAAAGCTGCACCTATTAAAAATGGCTGTTCCATACAACTATACGGAGGCACAAAGCTTCCATCACTGGTCCATCAAGGTCAGCATCGTCCACTCAGACTGGCAGCAACTCCCCAGCGATGCTCCCTCTAAGCTGTGGAGTCTTGTGAGCAAAAATCCTACGTTGTGAGCTACTTGGCATTAAAGTTGTGAGCGAGAGATTCGGCTTCTGCATCAATCAGTTTGCTCAGGAGCCCTCCTTCCTGAGCTCGGACAAGAATGGCTGAGCCGGAGGCTAACAAAGTGTGAGCTAGCTCACACGAACTCAGCTTGGAGGGAACACTGCTCTCCAGGGTCTTGGGAAGAGGTCCGCCACCCCCCCTCAACTGCTGGCTGGTATTCCATGACAACTAATTGTGAGGGGTTCCCCCGCACCCCCGGGTACACAGGCTATTGCCGATCACTAGTTCCACGAGTCCTTTTTGCCTTGTCGATTTTCATTTGGATCGTGGCCAGTCAATTTCTGCCCTCTGCCCTAACTTTAATGTGTTTTTTTATCACTGATGATTTTAGCGCCACCGATGTGTTTTGACACTGCTGCCGCTATTCGTTTAACGGCCATTTAATCGCAGTTTTATTATCAGTGGTTTAGTTTTAATGGTTACAGTTAAAGCTCTGTGGTGCCTCCCTAATTATTTATTTTATCACACTTTTAGCCTGCCCTCCTCTGCACAGGAAGGCTGAGAGAGCTCTTTCGAGAACTGCTCTTTCGAGAACAGCTCTGAGAGAACTGTGACTGACCCAAGGTCACGCCAGCAGCTGCATGTGGAGGAATGGGGAATCAAACCCGGTTCTCCCAGATTAGAGTCCGCGCTCCTAACTACTACACCAAACTGGTTCCCACAAGCTCGTATGTCTGGCGAAACATTTTCGTTTCGGCGGAACTGGACCAGATTCCAGGTCCTGTGGAACCAGACCAAACTTGTATAAGGGTGCCGGCACAGAAGTGATAAACATGCTCAAGTCTTGTGCTATGTTTTCTTTTGTGCTATGTTGTGCTCTTGTTAGGCTCACTTCTTGTGCTGGGTTGTGCTATTTTTCTACTTGCGCAAGACCTAGCTCTAACTGAGAGCCAGTTTGGTGTAGTGGTTAAGTGCGCGGACTCTAATCTGGGAGAACCGGGTTTGATTCCCCACGCCTCCACTTGCAGCTGCTGGATGACCTTGGGCAAGCCATAGTTCTGTCAGAGCTGTTCTCTTGGGCAGTTCTCTCAGAGCTCTCTCAGCCCCACCCACCTCCCAGGGTGTCTGTTGTGGGGAAGGGAAGGGAAAGGAGTTTGTAAGCCGCTCTGAGACTCCAAGTGAAGGACGGGGTATAAATCCAATCTCTTCTCTTCTTCAATATCGTTATAGCAACTATTGAGCCGTTAATCACTGCGTGCGTGAAGACCTCAATTTCCCCCCCCCCCAACAACAGACCAGTCTTTCTAAAGACATAACAGAAAATCAGAATCAAAGTAGAAGCACCCCCTTCCAGCTACGCTAGAGGTTCAGCTTTTCCATTGGCATGTGACTTGCATCAGTGGAACAAGGCTAAGTGTAAATATAGTTCTGTCCACCCTTTGTAGGACAATGGCTGCTCTCTTATTAGCTAAGAGACCAAGGCCCACGAGGAAACGCTGAAGGAGCTGGATATGTTTAGCCTGGAGAGGAGACGACTGAGAGGTGATACGAGAAACATCTTCAAGTACTTGAAGGGCTGTCATATAGTGAAAGGTACTGAGTTGTTTTCTGTTGCCCCAGAAGGTCGGACCAGAACCGATGGGTTGACATTAAATCAGAAGAGTTTTCGGCTAAATATCAGGAAGAACCGTTCGAGTGGTTCCTCAGTGGAACGGGCTTCCTCGGGAGGTGGTGGGCTCGCCTTCTTTGGAGGTTTTTCAGCAGAGGCTAGATGGCCCTCTGACAGCCGTGCGGATTCTGTGAACTGAGGCAGTTCATGAGAAAGGAGGGCAGGAAGGGTTGCCTCAGTTCTCGTGGCCCTTCCTTACACGCCCAGGGAAATGCTGATCGCCACTTTGGGGTCAGGAAGCCATTGTTCTCCAGGCCAGTTTGGCCGGCGATCCTGGAGGGTTTTTGTCATCTTCTGGGCGTGGAACAGGGGTCACTGGGGGTGTGGAGGGGGATGGTATTTGTGTATTTCCTGCATTGGGCAGGGGGCTGGACTAGATGACCCTAGAGGTCCCTTCCAACTCTATGATTCGATGATTGTGCTATATCGGGGGTCCCCAACATGGCAACTGCCTACACTTTTCCTGGCACCTGCCCAGTGTTTTTAGAAAGGCTTCTGCAGGGCTTCTGACTGGCCTTTGGAGATTTGGTTAGCTGTGGAGATCTTTAAAAGACATTGCTACGTAAGCAGCTACCACCACAGCCAACGATCTTTGCTTTGTGACTGAGGGTGAGCCGTGGCAGCCATTTTGTGGTTAAGGCGCTGAACTGCAGGCTGTGGAAGGCCA